AGAGAGAGAGAGAGAGAGAGAGAGAGAGAGAGAGAGAGAGAGAGAGAGAGAGAGAGAGAGAGAGAGAGAGATGTATAGGTTTGTATGTGAGTAAGGAGAAAGTGTGTATGTGCGTGTATATATGGGACACGTGTGTGTTTGTATGTGTGCGAGTGCTTGTACACAACTCAGATAAATATCTAGAGGAGGACACGTGATGAAATAATTGTTTCCGCTTGGAATTTAAGAGGATATCAGATAAAAGTGTCATCCATAATACATAATAATGTCTCTCTCTCTCTCTCTCTCTCTCTCTCTCTCTCTCTCTCTCTCTCTCTCTCTCTCTCTCTCTCTCTCTCTTGCCTCCCCCCTCCCTTTTAAATCCTTATAAAACTTTCAATGAACGAGCCCGACTGTAGATACGTATTATTCGTTCGTATCTCTCTGCATCGGTATTATAAAATACAAATATCACCCTCGACGAATCTCGCGTAAGTATAATTATTAGTGTGGTATGGCATATAACATTGTTAGTGCAGTGTATGCAAGTGATGAAAGTGCATGAGAAAATATGAAGGAGTTTATTGATTTTCACCACACAAACTTTAGTTTTCCTATAAGCATTCCACTCCGTTAAGGTAACGCTCAGTATGTGTTACTGCAACAAGCTACATACAATCAACATGATTATAAGTGCACGTATTGGAAAAATAACTCACATAAGGACATGGTCTGTTGTCATGTGTCGCGCAAATGACAATGGAAGATAACTGGAGGTGCAAAAAATGATGGACCGTACACTTGGCAACAACGAACTTGAGGGAAGTAGGAGATAGAGACACTCACGTGATTGCTAGTGCAAATCAGAAATAGAGATGTCATAGCAAGCTCGTTTAACGAAGACACGAAAGAAGAATTGACGGTAACAGTGAACGATTTTAACTTGCTCATGATTGGGAAAAAAAAAAGGTTGAACGAGGCGATAGTGAATTTTTATCGTAACCTCGTCGGACTAGACAACGAGTGTCGTGCGAATCACGAGAATTGCGACTCAAAAAACGGGAAGGTGGCTAGAACAAGAAAAGGGCGCATCCGTAGAATAACAATTCTCAACTCTTTTTTTTGCCATAGAATAACAATTCTCAACTCTTTTTTTTGCCAGACTGTTTGATAGCAATATGAAGTTTCAGCACGATATGGTTCGCAAATGGTTCACAAAGGTTATGATTAGCGACATGAATTTGATTATTGCACCTTTTCATGTCGCGCACAACCAACATTGGACACTCGTAATAGCAGACCTGAGGCGTATGAAATTTGAGTATAATGATTGGCACCAAATGTTGAACTCGCAAAGAAGGTGACAGGGGGGTTCGCAAAATTTTTCTATATGAGATCGGTCGAACAAGGTCAATAGATTGACACCAAAAACATCAACCATTGATGGGTAGTGGAAGGCATTCCAAAGCAGCGCAACTCAACGAGTGCGGTGTGTTTATGCTCACATATGCATCACCATTGGCAAGAGGTTTTCTGCCACCATTCACCTTCACATCAGATGACACTAAGAGACTATGATGTTGGATAGCTTTCGATGGAGCTGTTGTGGAGTAGACATATGAGTCTATTACAATAGTCGTCCAAGCATATGAGAGGACCATGCAGTAGGCACATGTAGAGGTGATAATAGGAAAAAATGAGCTCACAAGTGTATTCAGGATTAATGATGCGGTCAACAAAAAAGGTAATTGGTTGTGTAAGACAAAGATCTTATGAAAAAAATGGTTAATGTACGAACGATTTATAGAGGCAAGAAATAACTATGTGACAAACACTTACACCTAACCCCCGACCCCCTTTCCCCCAATTCATTACCCCTTACCCCTTACCCCTTAACCCTTACCCCTTACCCCATACCCCTTACCCCTTGACCCTTACCCCTTACCCCATACCCCATACCCCTAGTAAACCCTTGACCCCTCACCGCTTACCCCCCTTGTCCTGTCATAAATAATTGGCAAATGAAGACAATTCATGCAAAAAAATCGACTTTTTTCGTTCAAAAAATAAAAAATGTCCGTTTTGAAGAATCCTAGTTAACCCATTTTTGTGACCACAGGAAAGAGTTATAATTGCACATGGGGGCCCGGGAAGATACAGTTTGCAATTGCACTTTGGGCACCCTACCTGGCCAGAAAGCTGGGTTGTATACATTGCCCGAAGTGCAATTCAAAACTATCTTGACCCATAGTGCAATTATAACTCATTTACCTGACTCCTAGTTTCCCCTTCGCATTTCTACCTTTATCCGCGTTTCGGCTAAATCACCAGATCAAGTGCAGTATCTGTTTTATCCATCGGGCCACAACGATATTAGTAAGGAAAAAAAAAAAGAGGTGACCCTAACATTATAGTAATTACCAGACCTGCGCCAACTAGGATTTGATCCCATGACTTTTTTTGGGCTACATCACCCGTGACTTGTGAGTAGCATTCCGACACCTGGGCCGGGTTAGCAATGATGAATTCACAAACGACTTCTTCAAGTTGCGTCGGAGTTTGCGCATGTAAGCAGACATACATTAGGTAACTTCTTTTTACAACATTTTTAAACACAGTCACTTATGGATCAAGATGAAAGCGCATCGGAAAGTGTGTGATTTTCAACAACAAAAAACGCGCATCTAAACAAAACGGGGAAAGAAAACGAAACAGCGCATTTCCAGCCCGTGTACACAATAAATCGACAGACGTCCCTCGCGGGGAGAAAAATGATGGATGATATCTCAAGGCCGTCGCCCTTTTTCTAAAAAAAAAAAAAAAAAAAAGAAAAAAAAAAAAAAAAAAAAAAAACCCACCCAGCGAGTCAGCGAGATATAACACACAAACACAACGGGTGTTCGTCTGCATCCGTGTGCCGCATTATGGATGTTCCTATGCCCGTATGTCTCTAGTTCACTAGCCCCCAGTAGTTTTCTCCTTTCACGACACACGCCAGGATTGCTTGTAACTCTCTTCTTTTTTTTTTTCTTGTGCTCCTATCACTCCCCCTAGTAAGCTGAAGCTGGGTCTTCAAAAAAGCAAGAAAAAAGGGACGGCTTGTCACGCAAAGTCTTTTATACATCAATGCAAACAAGTGTTTGACGGCTATGGCCGCCAACCAGCACCACGTACGTATCCTTCTCCCTCTCCGCTGGATTCGACACACACACACACACACACAGCTCTCTCTCTCTCTCTCTCTCTCTCTCTCTCTCTCTCTCTCTCTCTCTCTCTCTCTCATCTAATCTATCCATACGAACGCATTTGAAGGACCATCACCAGTCACTCAGTACCTCACACTCTCTCTGCCCTTCCAAGGCATTGTCGCACTTGCGGACAGCTACACACGAGAGAGGCAGAAGGAGAGGGCGGGAGGAAGAGCGGCGGCGATTCATAGCCCCGGAAACACGCGACAACAGTATGAGTAAGTGCGAGCAACGTAACTTCTACTCCAATCGCAGGTATCGGAATCAGAACTGATCGGCCTCCCATCAAGCCGAAGGGCAACTACTGCAAGGCACTTCCGCAGCCCCAGAGTCGACATTCACGCCAGTCGAGGGAACCTTCTCGCAGAATTGATAGCCGCAGAAACACTCGACATCCGTAGGAGGAAGTGTGAGCAAGGTTACCTCGGAGTCTCCTTCCAGCGCTGATATGATCGGAACTGATCAGCCTTCTTATCAAGCCGAAGGGCAGCTTTTGCAATTCACCTTCGCTTCTCCAACGTCGAAATTCACGCCAGTCGAGGGGACCTTCTCACAGAAGTCCCCCAACCCCCCATTGAGGTACACGTGTTCGATTCTCGTTTTCCCTCCCGCAACCTTGATGGTGTTCCTTTCAAACTGACAGTGGCAGAATTGCCCATAGGAGCCCTGAACAATCACTGCCCCTCCTCGTCCTCCCACTTCCGTCACGGTATTGCCGATGAACCGACAGCGGGAAAATCTTATGCTCCCCGCCGATCCGACTCCCACAGCCGCTGCCTGTGTCTGCGCAGTGTTGTTCTCGAACACACATCTCCGACATATCAACCCTGTCCTAACTAGTCCAATAGCTGTGACGCCTGTATTAGCTTGAAAGAGAACGTCTTTCGCCTCCATCGTGCTGTATGCCACGTTGATTACGCCGCCTTCGTTTCTGACGAAGCTCGAGCCCTCGACCTTCAGTCCGTAGCCAGTGGTCACATCGATAACACCTCCGCTGTTCTTCGTGAAGAGACAGTTGCGGACCGTTATTGCGCCGCCGACGCTGCGAACGAATAGGTTGTCCTTCCCGCTCTTGGAGGCAAACCCGGTAACCTCAAGGTTACTCAGGGTTAGATTGCCTTCTCTCATGAAGAAGAAGCCGGCAAACCGCTTCCTACCGTCGATCTTGCATCTTCGAGATCGTCCCTTCACCGTCCTGCAGTTGCCCGTGACAGTTAGATTAGGGCACGTCACTGCAGGCAAATCAGCAGTCAAGCGCAGGTCAGATGTCAGTCGTAAGACCGTCGTGACACGCTTAGTCACAGCATCGCGCAGACGAGCTTCTGGTGTGGTCGGTGCCGCCGCCGCTGCGCTAGGCACAATTCGTGCAAATGGCGCCATGGCACCACCGCCATAGCCAGGGCTATGGGGTACGAGGAACGAAAGCAACCCTATGAGCAGAAGAACCGGTCGCAGCCGCTGTTGCCTCATGATGGAAAGCTGGAACGAGCAACAGGTTCAAGATGGCCAGGCGGGAGGGAGCAAACGACGACTGCTAACGCAGACCGCGCTCGAAGAGAAAGACTGCCCAGGGGAAGAACGAAAAGTGCTAACTCAGACTGCCATCTCAGATTTTTATTTGAGTAATTAAATCTTCGATTTCTTCCACACGCACACACACAAAAAAAAAAAAAAAAAAAAAAAAAACTGTTAACTTAGACCGCGGTCGACAAGGCAAGTAGGCAGGAAGGAGAAGATCACGACGCGGCGAAGAGAATGTAGGGGAGGAGACGAGCGGTGGCGATGAAGAAGCTGAAAACAGGACAGCCTCGAGGCCATCAGGAAGACATCACAGGAGGGTGGGGCAAGAACAAGCGACATACACCAAACACCACAGTACGCGAGCAGTAGTTTCCCGTTTTTCCTGTTTCTGAGGACCTCGCTCCACTACTCGCTACATGGGCAAAACGAGAGTGCTCCAAAAAACAAAAAAAACAAAATAAAAACGAGAGTGCATAAACCGCAATGAATGATTTTTGTCCTTCGCGCATGTCGAGGGTGTGGAGCGAGGCCGTTTGACACGCATAAATCGAGAAACGGTCCTCGGCAGCGCGCCGAGTTTTGTTGAACAGGAGTCCGCGCCAAATGGCCAAAATCCGTACATGTCTGGCGTGCCCACCTTTTTCGATTCTCTAGTCTGCCGTGGCCACCTTCGCTCCCGCCTTATTCGGTTGTCTGTTGTCTGACGTGTCCAGCTCATTCGGACTCCGAGCGCCGAAGCATTGCCAAATGACCATTTGTCGGCCCGGGCCAGCCTTGTATGACGGATCACGAAGAGGGGTACACGAGTAACCACAAGTACTTGGCCCATACCGGGCCCGGGCCGGTCGATGTACGAGTAATCACAAGTGCTTACCCCATAGATAGGCCGCGGGCGTTTCCCGTTAAGACGCCGCGAGTGATGGGCTTCGGCCTACCGGGCCACAATGGCCGGAGGCGCCAACCAAAAGCTCGGCATCATTAGCTGGGCCAAGTACTGACCAGCGTTCGAATCCGCATAGAAATACATGAATGAGGGCATACTCGCCCTGGACAGGACGGCTTTTCACGTCTTTTTAATTTATCAATTTAGTATCACAGGAGCCCCATAGCAGCCAGCCCGCGTTCAAGCCTCCAACGACCCTCTTAGCAGTCAGCCCTTGTTCACGCTTCCATCAAGCGTCCAACGAGGGAACATGGGAGGCCTGCACACTGCAGGTGGGCAATACAAGCCAGGGGTCAGAAGGTAGCATCAGGACAGAGCTTCTTCTATGTCACTGCTCAATGCGGCTCCGGGTGACCAACGGCCTAACTCTAGTGAAGGGCGCAAAGCTTGCCCAGGAAGGTACATGAGGCCAATAGGATTGAGCCCAAGACCTCCTGAATGCCACTTGCCTGCCTTATTAACAGAGCTAGGCTGCTGGATCACCCAGAGATTCTTGGATTACCTTGGGCCAAATCCTGGATTTGTAGGCCGTACTCACACTAGCACCATCGGAAATGTATCTGACAGCCTATACAAGGTGGATGTATCTCGCCGCAATTATGTCAAAATATAAGTAAAAAAGTCCTACCTAGTGTGAGTACGCCCTCAGGGCTAAGGGCGTGCTCACAGGGGGACCTAAAGTCACAAATATCTGGGGTACCATGTATTTGTGTGCCTTTGGGTGCCCGTGCCGTCACACACACGAGTAAATACCTCACGGAGAAAGACAAAATTGAAAAGGTAATTTCAGACGACCTCTGGAGCATGGTCCCACTACCAAAGGGATAGGATAGAAAAGATTTTGTGTGACAATTGAGTGACACATATCCTGCCGTGCACGTGATCCCACGGTCGGTGTTTTGCATGTTTTACCCGAAAAAGGAAGGAGATCTTTGTTCCCCTCCTCCTCTCCTTAACACTGAGCATGCGGGTGCAAAGGAAGCTTCCCGCCAAAATCTTTTCTATCCGTTGGGGGTATGGCCAATCCCAAAAAATGGTGGGATAGGGAAAAAGAAAAGGGACGAAAAAAATAAAAATAAAAATGGTGGGATCTTCCGTAGGCCCACTGGATAGAAGATTTTCAGTTTTTTTTTTTTTGTTTCTTTTTTTTTTAACCTTTCCGTATGTTCTGGGCACTCCGGCCCAGTACACGGCGGGGGTAGCTGTCCCTCACATAAAAGCACAGTTCAAAATGTGATCCAGACAGATGACACAATCCACTACATATTTATGATACACACACAGCAGCTAAAGTAACGGCCTAGCTCAGTTGGTAAGGTACGCAAGTGGCATTCAGGAGGTCTTGGGTTCAATACCTTCCTGGGCATGTATGACGCCCACCACAAAGAAATAGCCCGTTGGTCCCCCCAGTTGGCATTAAAAAGCAGTCTCTGCTGATGTTCATAGGGGGAGGGGTAATTGGGGAGGCACAGCGACTAATCGGAGAGGCACAGTGACTGGCCACTCAGATGATGTCAGATGATGCTCGGTCCCTCTGCTACCGGCTGTCCCCTGGGGGGTGTCCCCATTGGGGGTTCCCTGAAGGCAATCGAGGCCCCCTTGGGATGAAAAGGCCACCCAATGTCAGATAAGACACAATATTGAATTTACCTGAGCAGCTGGTCCCTCTGCTACCGGCTGTCTCCTGGGGGGTGTCCCCATTGGGGGTTCCCTGAAGGCAATCGAGGCCACCCGATGTCAGATAAGACACAATATTGAATTTACCTGGGCTGGTTAGTCCGGTGATAATACCTCAAGGCCATCACCCTTTCAAAAAAAAAAAGAAGCCAAAGATAGAAAAGGCCGGATCCCCAAAAACAACCAGCCTAGAGTCATCTCCAATCCGAACACACGTAATGTACAACATGCACACGCAGGCAACAAGCAGCAAAAGCACAGTTCCTAAAGACAGCAACCTAGAGTCAGCTCTAAAGCCGGCTCACGAAAACAGCTGTCCGGTTATATTCAGCAGGACGACTAGTGAGCGGAAACCTAAAAGGCACCCCTAACAACAGCACAACAGCAATCCCAACGGATAACTGTTTACATCGCTGTCAAAGAAAAAATGAAGAAAATCTGAGTTGCAGTCGACAGCCAGGGGGTTGGCAAATGGTAACCAGTCCGGAGAAAGAAGCCCAACACGTGGAAAAGCACCTAAGAGATTTGGCCGAAAAGCCTTTATGCTGAACCCTCAGCATCCAATCTATCAGACTAGCTTGTTTGATCCGATATTTGACTTCAGCTCTCACAATGACCGAGGTGAGTTGTCAGCACACCTAACAGCTGAGTTACGAAGTGTCCCAGCGTGCCCCCGATCGGACAGGGACGATACCCCGACTGGGAGAGCTAGATGGGACACCCGTACTGATCCGCTGTGGCCAGACCTCATACGCCTCTGGAGAACGAACGGTCCCAAAAGGAAACCCATTCCCCTCAGATGGCACGAGGTCAGTCAGCAACACCTGTTCGGCCACCCGAACATCTTGAACAAGACGGCCAACCCTTCTCCTTGGGCCGCAAATCCAAATGGAGAAAGTGGGTGAAAAGAGGAGTCTTTAAATTGGCTGACCTATGGGATGCTCAAACCACCGACTGGGTAACAGAGGAAGCAATGAAGGAACGGATGGGAAAAATGCCATCCCTCGCTCAAGAATTACAAGAGCTGCAGGAATCAATCCAGTTAGCCTGGGTCCAAAAGCTTAAGGAAGGCCCAGTGCTGGTTGAAGGGGACTGGGTGGTCAATATGGACGACCGGCCCCTCCCAATGACTGTGTATAGAGTGGCACAGGTTAACCACAACAGCTTAGACCTCCATGCCTTTTCCCCAATTCTGCCAGGCTATGTAACCGGTTGAATGCGCCGATCGCGCGTTCGCGTTCGAACGCGCGCGTTCACACGGGGCGGGGCTGCTTTCAATCGCGTTCAAACGGCGTTCAAACGCGCTGCGCGCCACGTGGAGCGAAAAAATTGAACGCGACCCCCCGCCCCGTGCGCGCGCGCCAGGGGCTGCGGGGTGGTGGTCCTCATTCATCGGTCCCCGAACTTAAGAAAAATAACCCCCCGGAGGCCCATCCCCCCCAACCGCGTCAACCCCCGCCAAAGCCACCCTCCGCCCATACCCAACTGTGCGTCAACGCCACCTGATCCCAACCCCCCCCACCACCGCCCCGCCCCCACTTACAACCCCCCAACTGCGCCACCTAAGGTTCCTTGCGGGCCGCCGGTTTGGGGAGGTTATTAGGGAGGGTCATGGGGGGGATAGGTGTGGGCGGGGTACTGGGGGATTATTAGAATGGGTTATGACCGTTACGGGGGTATACGCTATGAATCCCCCGCGGCCTCGGTCGCCGCGGGCACGACCGCGGCGACCACAGGCAAAAAGGGCTGACCGTGGCCGCGGCGGGAGGGGGTCGGGGGGGCGGGGACCGGATCCCGGCAGCGAGGGGCGGGTTCCTGTCTCTTATACACATCTAGATGTGTATAAGAGACAGGCTGTATGCCACGTTGATTACGCCGCCTTCGTTTC